ACAGACTTCTTTGCAAAGATTTAGAACCAGATCTTATGTAACTTTCTGATGAAGGTGTGACAAAATCCAGGGATTAGCAGCTAAAGTTGAACAAATTCAGCCTTGAGTAAAGTCATTATTGCCTGGCAGGGAAAGTAATTGAAGGAGGAATAAATAAGGGGAAGAGTAAAGTGATCATTACAGGCTGCTATAAGGTACAAATAAACTAAACTTTTTGTAAGTTTAAAGATAGTTTTTACACTGTTTCTGGGGGAAATTCTGTGGTCTGTGTGAATGTGGGAGATTAGACTGGTGGGCTGTGACAGTACCTCTGAAGTTTGATCTCGGTGACTGTGAGTTAGTGTTGGTGCCTTTCCCTTCAGGACCATAAATGCGCCTGTGCACTTTTATGATTTTGGAGGTTGCCAGACACCACAGTTTTACTTTTAGTCTCCTTGGTACATTTCTTTCTATTGCATAAGAGTGCACATTGTAACGTGGACATGTTGCCACATGAACAGCGGTGAATTAACCTGGAACAAGAAACCCCACCTTGCTCTTTGCATCACCCTCATAATGTACAAATACAGGTCCTGACACTGGTCAGACGTGGCCTGACTGTTTAAGACAAATTGAAATGTGTGCCAGTTTGTTTTTCTATGCTGTACTATGAAGAGCAGTGAACTAATTCAGGAGTAGTTACATCAATCCCTATCTGGGGGCAACAGCTTCCAGGTGAGGTACAGATACCTGGAGCAAAAGCCTTGTCAGCTGCCACAAGTTTATCTGCTACTACCTCTGAGTAAACACCCAGAGGTAACAACCTCTAAAGCACCTTTAAAGAAAACCCCTCTTGAGCAAGTCTGTGCAACCCTCTTGAGCATTCCGCCATCCGTTTGGAAAAGTTTTTGACTCCCACTATTGTGTGCTGCTTGCAGCAAAACGTGGCTTGCTGAAGTGGTTGAGCTGAGAACCTGTGCCTGCATCTTCACCTCCCACCTGGCAACTACTGAGTGTAACAAAACCAATCTTCTGTGTGTGCTCTGCTTCTGCCACTCACATAATTGTGATTTATC